AGAAGAAAAAAAAAAGAAGAATGTTTGTGACTTTTTTAATAACTATAAAAAAAAAAAAAAGGTTCTTTTATTATTTTCTCGTGATACATATGTTCAATCATGTTTTTCAACAAGTGCAAGTGGTTGTGAACCAGCACGTTCGTTTATTAAAAAGAAAATAGGTGCGGAAGAATGTTCAGTTATATATCCACCAAGTGGAATTATTCCATTTTATGGTTTTTCAATGCTTGGTAAAACAAAAGTTTTTTATTCTAAAATAAATTAAAAAAATGCTGTTTCTTTTTTTAAAGTTGCACCAGTATGTTTCGTTTTTGAAGATCCAGTTCATTTATATTTTATCTTTCGACAATTTTATATGAAATATTTTTTTAATTTACATCATATATCAGCTTCACCAAACGTGAGAAAATTTTTGTTTGAAAGAATATATTAAACAAGAATGTTTATTGTAGGCAATTGTTGGTTTATGTATTTTATTTGAATCTTTATTACGTCAAATTTCACCTGATTTATGGTTTCATTTACAAGAAATTCAAGTTCAACCGTAAAATTATTATAATTGTTAATTAATTTATTTTGAAAAAAAAAAAAAACAAAAATATTCTTTAGATTACGAATTGCTTTTAAATGGATGATGAGAGCTTTTTCGGGTTATTTAGCTTCAAATCAATTATTAGCACTTTGGGATAGAATTCTTGCTTATGATTCTTTGGAAATCTTATCTCGTATTTCGATTAGGCTTTGTTCTTTTAATATTTACTTTTGTTTACTTTACTAATTTAGTTCTTGCTGCTGCAATATTTGTGTTACGTAAAGGTAACGTTTTAACAGTAACAAGTGAATCAGCTATTGAAGTAATAATTTTCTTTATTAAAATCTCTATGTTTAGTTTAATAATTAATTTAGGCTATTTTTTCCGATATATCATCGATTAAAGTAATACCATTACTTCAATTCATACTTGGACATTGATTTTATTATTTGATTCTTTTTTTTTTCTATTTTGTTTATAAAATAAAACAGCACATTCACTGATATTTGAAGTCAATTCGAAGAAGAAAAATGTTGTTTTTTTTTTTCTATTACTTAGAAATGAATATAAACAAAATATGAAAATGGATTAGACTAATTTCAAAGGATAGTATAATTCAAACTGATTTCACTAAAAGAAAACATGAAATTATCTTAGATTGTTACTTTTCATATTTGCTTCAGACTTACTGTCAAAATAATATGAGTAATCAGGAAAAAATGAAGAAAAAAAAAAGTACAGATTAAATATCATGTTATAGAAAAACAGTAGATATTTTGCTATTTACATAGTTTTCATTTGATGTCTAATGTAAGTTCTGATGAATCCAATGCATGATTGAATCTTTTGCAAGAAAAATAAATTCATAATTCTTTTCAGATGAGCTATTTAATTATGTTCTTATCGATTGTGAAAGTATGTACATCTGAATTCTTTCCTACACATACGGACAAATGTAGGTACTTGATGCTTTATATTTATGACATTTTCATCTGAGATATTAACTTCCAAACAAAAGAAAAATAAATGTATTGCAGCTGTAGTCCTGCAGTTATTATAATAGTTCAATTGCGACTCATGTTTTGGTTCTACGAAGTTGAATATGTTTATGTTTTAACCTGTGATATCGAAATTCAGGAAGAATTATATTTGTAGTGATTTATAAATAGCTAGATTCAATTCGATAAATGACATTTGCAGCAATATTTCTTTCGGGGGCAATTGTAGACATGTCTATCTAATCGTTAGTTGTGATTTCTACTGAATTCGATTCTGAATCGAGATTTTTCGGTTTTCTTTTTTACGGGTTGATCAGATGAGCGTCTTTTTACTTATTAGTTAATCAATTAAAAAAACTTTTCCGTAAATCTCAAAGGTACTTAGTTATTCTTTTTTTAACCTAAATCATTTACTCAGGGCGAAGAATTTATCCATTCATTTTTATCAGGAATGTTAAAGCTTTAAAACCGATAAATTAAAATTCATATAGACGAGTTTTTATTCTTGAATAAATATATTACTTTAACCGGTATGAACATGAACAAATTTTTTGATAAAATAAATTTCTCGAATAAAAACAATTGTTGCCTATTTCATTCGAAAAAACAAAAATAAGAATCGTATACGAGTGTAAAGTCATCTCTTATAATTTGTAAGCTAACTGAGAATGTATAAATCAATTTTTCTATGTTATTTTCATTTTCATATAGATGCGCATAATATTCCTTTCTTCATATAGAGTTAATTGTTTTCTTTTTCTCATTATTCTAATACATTATATATATATATATAAATAATAATGAAAATAACATTGTTCGATAATAAATGTTATAAATAGCAGTTTTGCTTTTAACACATAGATAGAGTGTAGCTCATCACGATAAGAATAAAGGCAAACTTCAAAAAACAAAAGAAAAAAGAAAGAGGTAAGTTTCAATGAGAAAACATATACATATAAAGAATAATCAAATGATTGAGTATACCAATAGAAAAGAGCTGTTCGATAGTATTCTATAACTAATGAAAATGTTCTTTTGTCTTAGTCTTTTTATAGAAAAAGAATTCTAAGCACGTTTCAATAAAGTTAATTGTTAGTCCTAAAAGAATAAATTTGTTCACGATCTATATTAATCATTTCTTTTCTTCGCAGATGATCAATAAGAATAATTGAGAAAATATGTTTTTAAATTTATCAGACAGTATTCTTGTAAAATTTAGTGAAAATTATGCACAAATTCATGGTAGAATATTATTTCCGTTAACAATATTCGGTATATTAGCAAGTATCGTAACAATAATTGTACTTAATAAAAAAAATTTTCGAACACCAACGAATTTAATTCTACAACATGTGGCATTTTTTGATACAATTGTATTTATATCATACAATATATATTCATTATACTTTTATATTCTTCATCAACCAAATCCATTTGTTGGTCAATCTCAGTTTTGGCCATGGTTTGCTATATTTCATTCTAATCTCGGTTTAACTTCACATTCCATAGGATTATTGTTAACCTGTCTACTAGCTATTGTAAGTACAGATTGAACCAAAAGTAGCTTTATCAATGAAAAAATCGAATGTCTTCGTCATCTTTGGACTCAATGAACTAATTCGTTAAACACTAATAGAGGACTGTTCACGAATCATATTCATAAGAAAAACTTTAAAAAAAACCGCTGTAGATTACTACCTATCATTCAAATAAAAAAAAATTAATCTTCCATAAGTATTGAGAAAACATTATTTCCATAATAAGAGAAATAAACAATGTATGTTATTTTTTTGATTAATTCTTCAAACTATTGTTGTTGAATCTCAAATTTAGATCATACATGCGTGTCTTGTTACTCAACGTACTTTGAAAATTTTAACCATAAATACTTAGGATTCATTAAGAAAATGCAGTACTGTTTTTCGTTGCTCGTTTAAAGCTATAGTTTTTAATTTAGCTAAGATTGATACTTTGCATCAGTCCTTTCATGTTTTTCTTATGGATATGATCCAAGAACACTTCTCTATTAACGGTAGAAAAAAATCAGTTCATTTGGTCCAAGCATGCCGCAAATATTGAAATTTTGCTTCTGTAAAGCCATTTTTGACTCATCTTTGTATGATTCAATAAAAGATAATTTTGTATATATATGTATATTATTTAGATTCGATATACAATAATATCAAAACCTAAACAAGTAGTATTAAATTCAACTCATGTGACAATTTTTATTTGGTTCATTATTCTTTTAGTATGTTTATTAATGATACCTAATTATTTAATATGGAGTGTTGTTAGTCAACCAGCTTATATATATATTCCTCATTTATATACTAAAAATTCAACGGAAATAGTTTATTGGGTTAGCACAACAACAGGTACATTATTAGAAAAAATTTCTTTTGTTATATTGGCGTTATGCTTTAAAATTTTACCTGTTTTCATCTTAATTGTATTCAGTATATTATTAATATTAAATATTCATCATGCACGTCAATTACGTGAACGTCTTCGTCATCGTTATTTATATGTATCATCATTAACACCAAATTCAAAACGTGAATTACGAACTACACGAATGCTTGTATTTATAACATTATTTACTGCATTTGTTGAATTTCCTCAAGGTCTTTTTTTTATTGCTAGTGGTATTGATAAAGATTTCTTTTCCTTATATTCACATTTGGGTGATGTATGGGATATAACATCAATTGGTTCATCATTTATAACATTTATTATGTATTGTTTAATGTCTCAACAATTTCGTATAGAAATCTATACACTTATTTTACCAAAGTGTTTAATAAAAAATGGAATTTAAAAACAAGCAATAATCATTTTTAATTGATGAAATTGATTTATAACAATGATAAAGAAGACATGGAATTTAAATATTACCGAAAACAATATTAATTCACTAGATTTTTCAATAAAAAGACTTTTTTTTTTGTTTGGCGGAAAAATAAAGTTTTTTCTTTTTTCTGTGGTATAAAATGTCAATGAAAGAATCATTGTATTGCATATTCGAACTCAATTATCCTTTTTTTTATTATTTTTTGAGAGTATTTTACTTTATACAATTAAACAAATAATTACTAATGACAAATCCCGTTTTTCATTAAACTCTTATCAATGGACGAACTGCGCGAAACAATTAATCAGTCTATCTTTACTTTTACATTAATAGTATATAGGGTGTCCAGTAATTCACTAGAGTTGGAGAAAAAAATTTGAATATTTTCATGAATCTTCAACCAAATGAGCTGAATTTTTTTTGGAAGGTAGAGGACACGTAGCAGTTTTTATTCATAACAGAACAGGTCGTTTATGCGGATGAACTCAGCACACTTTTCTTCGCTATGTAAATAAGCTAGGCACAAACATTTGTTGTTCATAGTTATAATGCAATACTGTACGATAATCTTTTCTTTATTTATTAGGAAGCATAGTTGACATACAATGCGATATTATTAGTATGAAAGAAACTGTCCTTCGTTGTTCAAGCAGTCACGAAGACGTTGCACAACAGAGCGATATGCTTTGCGACACATTTCTTCGGGTATCTCTTCACAAGCTTGTTCAATTCTTTCTTGAAGTTCTGTAATAGAAGCGACTGGCTCTTTGAACACAATGTCCTTCAAATAGCCCCAAAGAAAGAAGTCACAGAGACTTAAATCTGGTGAACGAGCTGGCCAGTCGAATGGACCACGTCTACCTATCCATCGATCTGGAAATTTTTTATCCAGCCATTCTCGAACAGTAACAGAATAATGAGCTCCTGCTCCATCATGTTGAAAGTAAAAGTTTTTGTTCTTCAACCGAGGCCATGCATAATTAACCAGCATTTCTTTGTACGATGGACCAGTAACGGTATCATTGAAAAAATATGGACCAACGAGTCCATTAGAACTTATTCCGCACCAAACCATAATTCCTTGTTGCGTATTTGGCATTTCAAACTTGAAGTGTGGATTTTCTCTGGCCCAGTAAGTGCAATTATGTCGATTGACGCTTGTATTCATATTAAATTTGGCTTCATCGCTCCAAAATATACTGTCGATTAGATTGGGATCTTCTTCGAATTTCTCGATCCATGATTCGCAAAACTCGCTACGACGATCGAAATCATCATCATTAAGGTCGACCACTAAGGTAGGACGGTAAGGTTTAAAGCCAAGTTATTTCATTGCCACATGGTAACTGCTTTTGCTTATACCAGCTCGATCAGCACCTAAACGAATAGACAATTGTGGATTTCTAGTGGCTCTTTCTTCAATTTCGTCTAGTTTTTCTTCAGAGAGTACACTTGACGGTCGACCAATGTGCGGTAGATTTTCAATTGTTCCAAATTCATCAAACTTTTTATTGATTGACGAAATTGTGGTCAGATGAGGTGGAGTTGTATCAAAATAATTGGTCCATACTCTTTGTACGTCAGTTGCATTTTCAAACTTTGAAAAAAGTCGTACAATTGCGACTTTCTCATCAGTGGTACGAGTTGCATACATATTAAAGAATCGTAAGTGATATAACTAAAACTATGTACAGTATCACCACGTGGATTATCTTTCGTACCATTGTTTTTCGTCTTTTCTTTTCTTTATCTCTGAATATGCGTGCTTTGACTTACATGAATGATGCACGTATCGATACTTCTGTATCAGCTATATGACTCAAAACGAAACAAAAAGTGAGATAACGGTCAAACTTAACAACTGACCTGATTTACGCACGAAAACACAATAGTAGAACTACTTTGAATAATAAGCAAGTCCTCATCATAGCTGACTGGCCTTCTGTTTAAGAAAAACGTGCTGAGTTCATCCGCATAAACGACCTGTTCTGTTATGAATAAAAACTGCTACATGTCCTCTACCTTCCAAAAAAAATTCAGCTCATTTGGTTGAAGATTCATGAAAATATTCAAATTTTTTTCTCCAACTCTAGTGAATTACTGGACACCCTATATATATATATATATATATATATATCGGTGTAGAATTTGACGAAGAATCGTTTGATGCCAAACTGAATCTATATGAAAATGTTTCTATTGGGTAATAATGGCGATTACTAGACTTTATTTCTAAACTATTTTTACCCTAATCATATGATTATATTTTGTCAATAAGCTAGTCAAAACATATGTTGATCTAATTATAATTAGTGTCATTCGAAAGAGCAAAGCAACTTCTACGAATTCATATATAGACCATCAAGAAAAAGTAGACGTAACATAAATTTAAGATGACAAAGCTGTATTTGTGTTGATTCTTTAGAGTATTTCATGAAGACTTCTCAAGTGCTTCTAAAAGCATTCTATGATAACGCTTCCTCTTACGAATTCGATTGAGTTTTTTCAGGCTATAACTCTGCTATATTTTGTTTCTCTTATTTATCTAATCAGAACAATTTTCTAGTGCAGATATTGCAATTATTTATTTAGTTCATATCAATTTTAATAACTTGATTAGTCGACGTATGCAACCATATATTTTCAAATGATGACAAAAGCTGTAGAAATATTCTTCTAATTGTTGCAAGTATTATAGCCTACGAGTAACCAAAGCAAATTATCAATTGAGTTTTTGAAAATTTCTTGCACTAATTGTGATTATGTTTCAGTTTCTTAATGAAAGCGATCTTTTGTACATAGAAATGAGAGAAAGAACGAGAGGCGAAATCTTAATTATCCCGCAAGGTTCTTATCCATCATGGTACGTAAGGTTTATGATCCACATGAACTTCTTCAATTTTTTCTAAACATACAGAGAGCAATAATAGTAAAATTTGTCTTGCCATTTCGATGACTTTCTGCAATCAATACTTCATCGATATAATTTAAAGCAAAGAATACTATCATCATCATACTACAGTAAGTATCTGAGGAGGTACTTCTTGAGAGTATGTGTGGATGTGGGTGAAGACAAGATCAACACCCACACCCACACCATAATCAGCACACACAACGCTATCGAACTAGAAAGACTTATGGTGGAACGGCGAAAACAAATTTTTTTCGAAACCTGAGGGGAACCCCAAGGGTAAAAAAATTGAGTTGTGTTAAAATGCAAAATAAACTTGTGAAAAATAATCAGGGTTCAATGCTGATTATCGGGCTAATAAAATCACGCTGATCTTGTTTGGAATGGTCAATCCATAATTTGGCACACCTCCTTTATTATTAGAAAAAAAAACAAAAATCTTCAGAAACTTGATTTAATGGAGTATAGGTCTAAGAGTATAACTATAGCGATCCTAGTATAAGCATATGCGTATCGAAATATAAGTTGTGAGGATGCGTGGAGTAAATATATATGTCACAGTTGTCTATGGGAATTCAGTTGAGTTTGGAATTCATGTTAATCGTATGAGTCACACCATAATTAATGTTTGTTCACTATTGTATTCAAGCTTTGTTATTTTACCGATTCTAAACGATTGGTTGAACTTCTATGATTTATTCTGAATTATTTTAAAGCATTTCTATATAGATAATTTTCATTTTTAACCATTCTTATTTAGTAACTATTAGAATTTTATGAATTTTATTAAGTCAGCTCACTGGGTGTAGGTGTGGATGTAGATGAGAAGAACACTCACACATCACCCCCCGCCCCACACACACCCCGCCCATATCGGTTTTGAACTCTAATTCCAATAATAGTTTCCAGATTTGCTATTAATTTGTGATTTGTGATGGCTGCTCGAAATGTCATTGAAGATGCAGTTCAACAGTACTTCCATCGACTGACACATTATGTTTTTGATCCACTTCGATAGTCTTTATCGAACCTATCCTGCTCACTCTAATGCCGTCGACAAAATTCGTCACGAACTTGAAGCTATTTATGCGCTCCCATCAAGTCAAGAAATTTTCACCGCGCTCGAAAATCTGCATGTAGCTGATTTCCTTATGGACGGTACCAACGTCAATGACCAGCTAAGAAATAATTTGCGAATCGACATCGAGAGAATTGTGGATTTCCTATACAGCTCAATTGCTACTGTCAGCGACGAAATGCAGCTATTCCATGGGAAGCTTTAGCGATCAAACTTGATTGGCGACATTTTTGATATCGCAAAGCGAGACGTTCTAGAAGCATTTGTCGAAATTTTTCAACGTGCTCCATATTGTCAAGCTGAACGTCCATTATTGGTCGGACTGCTGCGTCCAGTGCAAAATCTGCCATTCCCAATCGACCAGATCTTAGATTTGCAGGATCTTAATATTTGGCGTCTAGGCAAGCCATAGCAAGGCTGCGTACTACTACAGAATTTACTGGCGATCTATAATCAAACGGCGCAAATTTATAAACTTATCACACTCGATTTCATTGAATATCTCATCGAAAAAAACATTCGCAATGAAAACTCTCATTACGCAGAAAAAATTAAAGATCTTTCTTGGACACATCAGCAGCAAAATTTCCATTTTTCGCAGGAACAATTGCTGCTCTTCAACTTAATCGTGTCTTTTGTGTGCAGGAACCGACACAACTAGATGCTATTTATCAGCAATTTTGTCAACATCAAAGACTGCCATAGAATCAACGGTAAGCATCGCTGTATCGATGTACCAATATTCATATTTCATTCTGCATTTCAGGCTTTATGTAGAAAACAGAGTAAACATAAATCCTCTATTGTCCGATCACCAGGTAAAATTCATAGTTTTCGTAGAAATACTTTGAAATTTCTGATTTATCCTCAAATTTTTCAAAACACATGAATTCTTCCGTCTCGCTGCCATAATTGATTTTAGTTTCTGACATATTTCTAAAATTTGCCCTAAATTTCGTACCTTATAAATATTCGTCGGTGCGAGTATGAGTTTGGGACTGGAAATCCGGGTGGGTGTTAGTGTAGGCTGTGAGTATAGATGTGAACGTGGATATGGGGGTATGGATATGAGTTTAAATGTGAGCCTCCTCTTCAACTAAACTCACCCACACACCTACACCCCACAACCACAAAGACACTCACATCCAAATCCATCTATACACCCATATGCATCCAACCACACCCACACTCTGTTCGGTATTTCCTTCATGTTTGAGTTTGATGGATTTCTTTCATCTAAAGCTATTTCATCATTCATGGATCTCGTTGCACACAAACATGAGCGTGCTATAGTTTCAATTCAGCACTTCTTGCAATTTATTCAATTTTTCGAAAAGATGAAAAATAAACAAAATAAAAATGATGCAGACCAATAGATTAGTTCATGTTCTATTCAGTTATATCAGAATCAAAGAGTAACCCCCCTCCCCCATAATAGAAGTCCTCCTATATTAGAAGCCCTCCCCCTATTAGAAGCCCCATCCAGAGAGGTCGATCTGCTAGACGTATTAGAAACCTCCTACATTTTCAATGCGTTTTAAGAGGCAAAAACCTGTTAAAATCTTATTTATCAGTATCAAAATCCTGAAATCTCTTCGAAAACCTGCTGAAAAACTCATAAAAACCTTAAAAACTCCTTAGGACCTTCGAAAAATGCTTGTCCTTGGCACCTTTGAAAAATTATGGGTGTGGGTGTGTGGGTGTTGGTGACTCTACCTCACACACATCCACACCCACACTCACACGCACACCCACACCCACACTCACACGCACACCCACACCCACACTCACACGCACACCCACACCCACACTCACACGCACACCCACACCCACAC